CCGCGCTCGCTGCTCCTGCGTCGCCTGTACCTGCGTGCAGAGCTTCTGCATTGAGCACCGCAGCCTCTGTCGTGCNAAAAAAAAAAAAAAAAAAAAAAAAAAAAAAAAAAAAAAAAAAAAAAAAAAAAAAAAAAAAAAAAAAAAAAAAAAAAAAAAAAAAAAAAAAAAAAAAAAAAAAAAAAAAAAAAAAAAAAAAAAAAAAAGCACATTACATCCATCCCACCGTCCCAACATATATCCTTACTAACATATTTTTAAGAAATCACTGTTACTTACATTAATATGGTTTAATATTTCATTTGAAATAAATTAATTTAATAATAACAATAATAATAATTCCCATTTACGATACGAACGTACCGGGCGTCTTATCCTTTAGACCACGACGACATCAAAATTCAAATTACAACTAAAATAATTATATAAAGACGCGAACGCACAAAAACAATGAAACACAAAATTAATACCATTAGAAAGAGAAACAATAAGATTAAAAAATAAAAGTTACGAGTAAAAAAGACAAAACGAAAAAGTGAAACGTTAGAAAGAGACAGCCGTTCGTTAGGTTAAAAGTGAAAGTATAGAAAGGCGAAACTATTTGTTTGTTTTTATTTCGATCGCTTTAACAATAGCAATCGGTTTTTGATCAAAACCTTTTCATTGACGGCCGTCTGGTGTAGTGGTAAGTGACATGGTCACTATATAAGGGGGTCGCGGGTTCGAATCCCGCCAAGGGAAGATATTTGTATGATAAATATAAATGTCTTTTCCAGAGTTATGGATGTATATTAAATATGTGTATGTGTATAATAAAAATCTTAAATTTATTTCCGTTATCTGGTACCTGTAACACAAGTTCTTTACGAACTTACCACGGGACCAGTTAACGTGGCGTGACTGTTAGTAAATATTTATTTATTATTTATTGATAGCTATAGATCATATTAAAGCATTTATACTTACACTTTACGTAACGACGCATCCGTGGCCTTTTACTGGTGGTAGGACCTCTTGTGAGTCCGCGCGTATAGGTACCACCGCCCTGCCTATTTCTGCCGTGAAGCAGTAATGCGTTTCGGTCTGAAGGGTACGGCAGCCGTTGTAACTATACTGACTTTGTAACTTATATCTCAAGGTGGGTGGCGCATTCACGTTGTAGATGCCTATGGGCTCCAGTAACCACTTAACACCAGGTGGGCTGTGAGCTCGTCCACCCATCTAAGTAATAGAAAAAAAGATTGAATGCGAACTTCTTGCTCTTTGAACAAAATTATATTATTACTTGAGAAGCTTTTATTAAAATTAGATAAGTTTACAGTTACTTCTTGGTGAAGCTTCAGGATGACGTAAAGTGCAGAGTAGAATGTTACATAATCAACATCAGTTTACGTCATTGCCAAAACTGTCATAAGAATTTTGCTACAGTAGATCTTACTAAGGTGTCGCAAAACTTTTCCAAACTTATAAGAAGCTATTTCGAATTATTGGTCTAACTGTAGGTACTTGATCGTAATAACTGTATAGATATTAAAATTTCATACTCCAAACAACCTTGCCAAATAACTGTATAAATAAAAAACAGTTCATTTGCAAACAAAATGCTTATAATCTTATAATATCGTAACAAACTAACCCAAATTTATGTTTTAACCATTTTCTTCGGTTCCGGACAGATTTCGGGTCTATTCCCAAAATATTCTAGCATTTAAAGGTCATTCGATTCATTCGCACTGGACCTAGAAGCCGCTGCAAAATTGCTGTCCAATTATAATGCAATGGCCGACTGTTGAATGACCACAGGAAGCTTAGCTTAACGTGAATGTTGAATTTCATACCAGTATTTAGTATCCAGGGTGGGTAAAACACAGTTCCTTTGCAAACAAAATGCTTATAATATCGTAACAAACTAACCCAAATTTATGTTTTAACCATTTCCTTCGGTTTCGGACAGATTTCGGGTCTATTCCCAAAATATTCCAGCATTTAAAGGCCATTCGATTCATTCGCACTGGATCTAGAAATCGCTGCGAAATTTCTGTCTAATTATAATACAATGGCCCACTGTTGTCTACAAGAAGTTTAGTTTCTCAAGCGTGAATGTTGAATGTCATACCAGAATCTCGTATCCAGTGTTCCACACAGTGGCCACATACCAGATGGACCAACTGCCTAGTCAAAATCGCGGGGTTACGTTGGATACAGGTGACAACGGACCAGAGCACTGGACATCAACTGGAGAAGCCTATGTTCAACAATGGACAGCTGTAGGCTGATATGATGATGAAAATGATGATCTAGTACCTAGGGTATAGGATCAGAGCAGGCAGTGTGAATAATGACGAAAGGCTGTAGAGCAAGTTCATAAAATTCGCTTCCAAATTAATCCTTAAACAATAAACGGCCAAGCCTTGTTGAACGAAGTTAAGGCCCGAAATTCAAACACCTTAAAAATCAATCGCATGTTTACTTCGCAAGCAAAATTTTAACCTTTGGACTGGTGGTAGGACCTCTTGGACTGGTGGTAGGACGTCTTATGAGTTCGCACGGGTAGGTACCACCACCCTGCCTAGTTCTGCAGTAAAACAGTAACGCGTTTCGATTTGAAGGGCGGGGTAGTCGTTATAACTATACTGAGACCTTAGAACTTATATTTCAAGGTGGGTGGCGCATTTACGTTGTAGATGTATATGGACTCCAGTTTCCACTTAACACCAGGTGGGCTGTGAGCTCGTACACCAATCTAAGCAATAAAAAAAAGGAAAAAAAAAACCTCGGAGAGTTGCTAGACTGTCATGGACCAGTTTATATCATCCCACAACGCTCGAATATCTCTGCATGCATTCTGTTGTTGAAAAGTCAGGTCTGTCATAAGAAATTCCATTGTCGAACACCTCACGAGACGTAGCGTTCAGTTACTACTAAGCTCCTTAGATATCAGAACGTGCCTCCACCCCCATCATGATCATATTCATGTAGTAATCCTTCAAATGTTTGCTTAGATTGTTAAGTGGTTACTGGAGCTCCTTGACAACGTAAATGCCACCACCCACCTTGAGTCATAGTTCAAATCGAAATATATTACTGTCTCGAGACAAAAACAGGCAGGGTGGTGATATTCTGATACAATAGGTACCACCGTGCGGTCTCCCAAAAAGCTCCACCACCAGTAAAAGGGAAAATTAGTAAGGACGATCGCTTCATACAGCAATAGAGAGGATGGTGGTACATACGTCATTCAAGGGTGTTGGAGCACTAGTTCGTGGATTTTACTAAACTATACTTTGCTCTCAAACGACAAGTACGATCGTGAAATTAATTTTAATTATTTAATAATATTAATTAAAAAAAATAGTATTTGTTAATAATCGTTTTATTAATGTGCCTATTAACATTATTATAAAAACGAATTGGAAACATTATTTGAAAAATTAAGACGTACTTCTATTTCTGCCACGCGATGAACTTCTGGTCAATACATAGAATTATATCCATAAAAACAATGAAATTCAAACATCAGGCCGAATTCGTCTGAAGCTAATATGAGTTGCCTACGATTTCCAATTTAACGGCCGGCCCTTGTTGTTTATAACTTTCGTTTCTCTCGATGCCCTTAGGGACGCAGTAGCTTAAACTTACAGTGTGTTTGAATCAACAAGTCATTGGAAAAATAAAGGTTCATTTTCATTATTTTTTTTGTTTTTTTTTTTCCTTCCTAGCTGAGAGCCTTGAGAGGCTATATCAGCGTAGTCTTAACTAGTAGGTGAGCTCACGGGGCTCAAACCTGACGACGTTGCTAACACAAACCCTAGCAAGAGCCGTGCTTCGCAGAATCTACCACCGGATCGAAAACGCGACCCACTGAGAAGGTCCGGCCAGAAACTCAGTGGGCTGTCTGAGGGTTAATTTAAAAACGGTGACCGGTGCTTGAAGTACATAAAAGCACCGTTAGTGGATCGAGAGGATCCGAAATGACGTGTTCGGGGCGACGTCGACTGCTTTTCATTCTGTCCGCAGGATCGGGGATGCATTTTCATCTATACTTCTATACTATAATATTATAAACAGGAAAGATTTATTTGTTTGTTTATATTGAATAGGCTCCGAAACTACTCAACCGATTTGAAAAATTCTTTCACTGTTTGGAAGCTACACTATTCCCGAGTGATATAGGCTATATTTTTTTGAAAAAACTCCTCTCACCACAAATCCTCCTCTCCACAAATCTCTACTAAAACTCCAATTATGTAACCCAAGATGTAAAAAAATTACCTAAAATATTCTTTACATCGCGTACACTGCGAAAACTATTGATGATACAAGGTGTCCAGAAAGGGTAACGGGTATTTTTTTTTGTGCCTTATTCGAAACGGGGCGACGAAAAGGAGCGGGGAGGGGTTCGTGGCGTCCGCCATTTTGTGGAGTATTAGTCATGACGGAACAGTACTCGAGGAAAGATGGGGCCACTTGCCATACCTCAAATAACTCCGTGGAAGTTGTTAACCAATTATTCCCTAATAAAGTCATTTCGCGAAGGGGTAACATCAACTGGCCTCCCAGAAGCCCCGACCTTAGCCCGCTTGACTATTTTGCATGGGGATACCTTAAAAGTAAGGTTTATCAAAATACTCCGACAAACCTAACCCAATTGAAGCAAAACATCAGGTCAGAAATGGCAGCAATATCGAGAGCTATGTGTCAAAGTGCTGTCGCCAATTTTCGTACCTTACAGATAATTTTTGTTTTATTGAACTTACAAATACCAGATACCCTTTCTGGACACCCTGTAGAATAAAAGAATGTACTACGACTTCGTATAACACATTATTATTTACAAAAAGTGTCGGGACAGCATACATCTATATATTATAGTTAGGCCGCAATAAGTGTTCTTTTATTTAAAAAATATAAAACAACATCAAATATCGTTGAAATTTTTGTTAAAAACCCGACCGGAGCCGGAGCGGGCTGCTTGTTGGTCGATAATTCAGTCATTATACAACATGCGGTTCTTCCCCGAATGCGGCATGACAACTAAAAGGAAATTCATCGGTGGTATAAGGCAAGCGTGGCGCGAGAAATCAGTTTATTTATTTATTTATTAAGTTGCACCAACAAAGTGATCATCAATACAAACCATGAACAATTGACAAAAGTTCATGGCAGATGTCAACTCAATTATAGGTGCAATCGACAGTGCATTGACAACAAAAATAAAAAAATATATATAACTAAGATTTGATTACATTTGATTGATTGCTTAAGATTAATTTATATTTAATTGGGAAATGATCCGCGACAGATTTTTCCTGTAAGCTGTGAGACAATTAGAAAAAAACATATATTTCACTTAAAAAGTTTACGAATGTTATTCTGACGTTGCGCGGGAGTTTAATGACGGTTCGTTTTACCAATTTACAAACGCTGAAACTGGTAGTAACGTATCGAGACTATCCATGTTTATGTAACGTAACAAGTGATTTGAATAAAAACCGAAATGCATAGCAGGTACCTACCTCTGCTCAATGCCAGTCTTTAAATAATTTTTTTCCTACCTAAGCTGATAGCCTTGAGAGGCTATTTCAGCGTAACTTTAACTAGTAGGTGAGCTCGCGGGGCTCAAACCTGACGACGCTGCTAACACGAACCCTAGCAAGAGCCGTGCTTCGCAGAATCTACCACCGGATCGGAAACGCGATCCACTGAGAAGATTCGGCGAGAAACTCAGTGGGCTGTGTTTGAGGGTTAATTTACTCGACGAGCCCTTCGTCGCAATGACGTGTTTGGGGCGACGTCGACTGCTTTCCATTCGGTAATATAGTTACCAGCGGCCACGATGAGAGGGTTCTCGTGTCGTGCCGCTTTATCGAAGTGAAATCTTTCAAAACAAATGCGCGGTGAAGAATATCCTACAATCGGCAAGCGGGCCCCATCGATTAGTGACTAGTGACTACTTTTAAAAGTCGAGGTGGCCTAAAGGATAAGGTGTCTTTTATTTTTCTAATGAAATATGTATTCAACAAATGTTCACGATTGACTTCGACGGTGATGGAATAACATCGTGTAGTAAAAATCAAACCTCCAAAATTGTAATTTGCGTAATTACTAGTGGTAGGACTTCTTGTGAGCTCGCACTCTTCGTCGAAGTCGACGAGTTCGACTTGGAAGAAACTTCTAACAGCCATCTCCTACTATATGTAAACTGCAATTCCAACAGCCAAGAAATAAATACACAGTTTGCAGTAGTTCATTTGATTCTTTTTTTTTTATTGCCCTTGTAGGCAGACGAGCATACGGCCCACCTGATGGTGAGTGGTTACCGTCGCCCATGAACTTCAGCAATGCCAGGGGCAGAGCCAGGCCGCTGCCTACCGCTTAATACTTCCCACAAGCCTCGTTTGAAGAAGGACATGTCATAGCGCTCGGAAAACAACGTGGAGGGGAGCTCATTCTATAGCCGGATGGTACGTGGCAATTCTGTGTTGCTTCATTGGTAACTCCACTTGTACAATAGGTATGTTCTCACTATAGAATGCACCGCTTTTCTCCCTTGTTTTATTCCGCCTACCGCCTCTTTAAAAATGCCGCGTCCCCCATCCCTCGTGTTGCCATATGACAATACGAAAATTGTCTTAATTTTAACATAATAAATTTTATATTATAGTTGTTACAAAAAACCTTACGTAAGTATCAAATCTGTCGATCAGGATTGTTAGAAATAGCTGACACGAAGTTCTCATAAGTAAACACTTACTAACATTTGCTCACGGTTTACTTCCACTTTAAATTGTCGGTAGGCAGCGGCTTGGCTGGTAGGCAGCGGCTTGGCTCTGCCCCTGGCATTGCTGAAGTCCATGGGCGACGGTAACCACTCACCATCAGGTGGGCCGAATGCTCGTCTGCCTACAAGGGCAATAAAAAAAAAATAATAATAATACAGCGGTATAACAAAATCAAAAAAGTTTTTTTCTCTCTCAAAGCGTGCAACGGACGAAAATGAGGAATGAAAAAAAAATTGGTTCGTGCCTATTCTCTAGTACGCGAGCTATCAAAAACGCTTACATGACTCCGTTAGGCCAAGCACGCCATAATTACAGATTCAATTGAGAGTTTTCTACTATAATCTACAATACACCTTGCACACACCAAACTTTCTCCCGAAATGAATTACATCACTTAAATAAATTTGGACTGTGTTACAAAAATGCAAAAAGTAAAAAAAACATGGTTACGTTTAGCGAACAGAATACGCCTGGTTGGAAATGATCAGTCGTTGTTACTTCACTGACGTAGAACTGTTATAAGATACTGGAAGTGACACGATATTTTTTAAAATTTTCACGAGTCTAATACAAGTTGTTTTTATCGTCCCAATGCAAGTACGAGCAAGCACCACCACTTCCCACCCTAGTTTTTTTTATCGCATTTAATGGTCAGATGTGCTCATGAACCAGTTGACGTGATTAAGATAATGTCGTGTATCTTGCCTCCGATCAGTAGGGTAGTCAGCAGTTATAGCAATACAGTTTCCATATCTAAATGTGGCATTGTTGCGATAAGGTAATTATTGAGAGTGGGCTATGTTTTTTGTATGGGATATTTATTGATCCTTTATATTACAAACTATCTGACCCGGCAGAGTTCATAGTGCCTCAATCGATAAATAAAAGACCTAAACTTTTGTATCAAAAAAACTTAAACAAAAGAAATCAATTTAGTATTACTTAAATGTATTTATTTTATGTATTTCATTATATATGTACGTGTATGTATATGTTTACGTTATTTATGTGTGTATGTATATATGTAGTCTAATATATTATGTATTAGTGTTTTTTTTTTTTTTTTTATTGTTGTTGTTTAGATTGTAAATTGTAAATTGATTAGATTGTATTCTTCTACCCACTCATTTAAAGCTTTCCTTCGTTAAGAACGGTTAGCTGGTAGAAAACTCAATTGTTGAGTTAAGCTCGCCATCTTTTATATCTTACGCAATTACTGTAATCATAACTGTGTGTACAATAAAGAATAAAGAAAGAAAGAAAGGAATCCGTCCGACGGGGGACACATCAAAGGAAAAACAAAATTGTTATTTTTATTTCCTTGAGAGCATTTTCATATTTATCTACCTTTTAAACCTTCTCTGGACTTCCACAAATAATTCAAGACCATAATTAGCCAAATCGGTCCAGCTGCACTCGAGTTTTAGTGAGACTAACGAACAGCAATTCATTTTTATATATATAGATTAACGACTTAATATAAGAAAACTATAAAATTAACGGCTGATTTTGGAAGGGGGTTTGATGTCATAGCGGACCTCGCTCGCTGATATTTTTACGTTCAGAAACAGAATAACTAATTCCATGGGGAGTGCTCTGAGGAATTGTTCGAGATGATACCAACGTCTCGTTTTTACCATCGTACTGCCCGCCACCGGAGTAGAGTTCATCCATACTACCTGGAGCCACTGCGGTCATCCACAGTGCGTTTCCAGAGATCTTTTTTGCCACGTACCATCCAGCTATGGAATAAGCTCCCCTCCACGGTGTTTCCCGAGCGCTATGACATGTCCTTCTTCAAACGAGGCTTGTGGAGAGTATTAAGCGGTAGGCAGCGGCTTGGCTCTGCCCCTGGCATTGCTGAAGTCCATGGGCGACGGTAACCACTCACCATCAGGTGGGCCGTATGCTCGTCTGCCTACAAGGGCAATAAAAAAAAAATTAAAAAAAAACGTGCCGAACTTGATAATTTAATCATTAATTTAGTATAGTTATTTGAAACTTTAACTTTATATTTAAATGAAACATAAAAAATTAATGTAATTTTGTGTCTCTTCCATTGAATCTCGATAAAGTAAAAACAAATTTTAACGTCGTCGACTGTTTTGTTTTATTGACCGACGAACTCAATGTCGTTCGCTCTACAGGTCTGTTCTTAGTTTAAAGATTTTTTTAAATTATTATTTTGATTAATAACAGCCGTGTGTACCTATATAGGTACGATACAGCCAAATTTATATCCTAAAACTATCCTCTTTTAACGATGTATTTGAGGACAACTAGAAAAATATATTTCAATATCAATTAAAAAGTTTTTTTTTCAAGTAAGTATTGGAAGGGGCTTTTAAGTCGTCAACACATTACTACCGACTCAAAATGCAGTTTGTGCGTTGAAAGGAATCACCAAGAAACTTCAGACTAGCACTTAATCAAATCAATCAATGTATATTACGTATAAAAAAAATAACAGCAGATTTTTAAATCGGTACGTATAATGAAGATAACTTGTAATAGACAAAAGCGGTCTGCATTACAGAGCGGTGAAAAAAAAACTGTTCATACTATTGCTAAGTGAAGCACAAATCAATTTATAAATAGATGGCTGATGTCCATTTCCAAGCTACGACTTTATTGTTGCTATACTAAGAATTAGTGTCCTACCTGCTAAACTTCATAGGATAAGACCATTATAAGTTTTCAAGTAATAACTTCACTTTGGTTTGGAGTTAAAAAGCCTGACTACTATATTAGGCATAGGACATTTAAGTTAAGATCGATGAACCATTAATCTATACTAATATTATAAAGCTGAAGAGTTTGTTTGTTTGAACGCTCTAATCTCAGGAATAACTGGTTCGATTTGAAAAAATAGCTCATTTATTGAGAAAGGCTATAATAATATAACATCACGGTAAGGCCAATACAAGTGGAACATTAATAAAGAATGTTTCAAAATAGGGGTTTAAATAGCTCCTTAACATTCTATAATTCAAAAATATTTTCACTTTCTACGTAAATGAAGTGGGGGTAAAATTTAGCGTTATGCCAAAGTAACTATTCCACGCGGACGGAGTCGCGGGCAAAAGCTAGTACTAAATATGACAGGAGTTTTAATTAGACACTAACAAAAATTACCGAAACAACAAATTTTCCGGCACCAAACAGCGGATAAGTTTATCTATTTGAATCTCAACAATTTCACCGTGAAGCAGACTATGACAAGAGAATCGCTCAGCCGCTTTTTGTGTGTCGCCGGGACTGCGCTCTAGTGTTTTTTCTTCATTTTTTTGAAAGCTAATACTATAAAAGTAATGCAGAACAAAGTTCTTGTTTATTTCTCGGGCAACAGTCGACGAAATGTATCGATTTTTCGTGTCGTTTGTTTTTTTAACGAGTGCCTTAGGGTCCTTCCTCGATAAGGACATCGATTTGGCCGACGGAGTCAAACTAGTTAGTATACCGGTACCGAAAACGCTGGAAAACGGACGATCGTTCGACAATTCGGTTTTGTATCGAATGGCGAAGTTCTTGCAGGGACACGAATTACATATAAAGCTCCCGAAGTTGATAGAGAAGGATCGAGTGGCCCAGATTTTCGCGCAGAGTTTGAAAGTCGTCGATGAAACTTACAAGGAAAATGGGGGTAAGCGCTGGATTCGGTGTTAGTTTTGCTAAACGACAATTTCAATGAGTTTGGCAGTTGATTTTGTTAGTAAGTTTGCCTATAATGATGAGATGAATGATTTTGTTTTCAAGGATTTTTTTCTATTGCCATAGTTCGAATTACACAAGCGACATAAGCTCAAATCTGTCTAGTGTGAAGTTGTTACTGGTCCCCAACAAAGACCAAATGCCATCCACCTTGATGCTTGAGGTTAAAATTTAAATTATATCATATAACTGTCTCCAGGATCGACCCGGGAATTATGACTGTTTCGCAGCTGGAATATATTAGATAAAATAGTAGTCGCTGCTATTTGAACTTAAAGCAGGCTAAGCATGATTTATATCAAGCCGTTATCAGATCGGAAATATAGGGATTTCGTATCAAATATTTTAGAAAATCAACTTCCATGAATGCATATTAATATTATTATGTTCTTTTTCGTTTAATTTTGACTGCCTAAAGGTCGCGATTTGTAATGTTTAATAACAATTATGTATATATATTGTGCATATATGTGTATAGTATGTATATTGTGTAAACAATATTTATTATTTTGTCCCGATATCCTAACCAAGACCGCCAAGATAAAAAAAATATTTCTCGCTCGACTTGGTATTTAATTTTATCTTTCAGTTTCCAAAATGTATTTTTTTACATTCCGGAAATATTTGTGTTCGTATACTCGGGTGTTCTAAATGATAAAACGTTTTTATATATCACTTATAGAGAATATAGAGAAGAAGTGCACAATGCTAATATTTTTTTAAAATAATGCTTAAAAGATACATTAAATCAACAAAGAAAACATTACACACACTACATACCATGTATTTGACGCACACACGCATGCATACTATTTATTGTCAAACTTTTGTTCTTGACGTCTGTTGTCAAATTGAGATTAAATATTGTTTGTCTTTGTTAATATTTTTTATAGTGTAGTCTTGGCGAAATTTGTGATTATAGAAGTATAAAATACAATCATGATAGTGTACAAACTTAGAATTCCAATATATTATAGTCGAATTTCGACTACTGCGGGACCTCTAGTTATTATTATTTTTTACCACCAAGGAAAATTCACAAAAAAGGCACTTTCATTAATTTATTTCATATTCATTATTTGTGCATTATCAATCGTCTATTGATTTAGTAATCTCACAAAAGCAACAATTTCTGCTGTGAAGCATTAATCTGTTTCGGTTTGAAGGGTGGCGCAGCCGTTGTAACTATACTTGAGACCTTAGAACTTATATCTCAAGTTGGTTGGCGCATTTACGTCGTAGATGTCTTTGGGCTCCAGTAACCACTTAACAGCAGGTGGGCTGTGAGGTCGTCCACCCATCTAAGCAATAAAAAAAAAATTAATACACACTGCATAGCAAAATAAACAGGAAGATCAAATTTCATTAAAATTTATCAGTAATATTATGATCGATCGTAATACATATAAGTGAAAACCAAAAATCGATATCCGTAGGAAGGCTTTCCAAAAAAAAAAAGACCGCTGAGTTTGTTTCGCCGGTTCTTCTCAGGACTGTGGCTTTTTTTGGAACCGGTGGTAGAGTTAACATTTTCTTTTACATTTTGACATTCAACAAGTGTGTTTTTGATGACATCCAAGTTGAAATAATTGATTTTGAATTTGAACTTGAATTTGAATTGTTTCATTAGCAAAAAAAGCACTTAATGTCCTAAAAAGGAAATCTATTTTATTTTCGCTCTCCCGAGTGACGTGCGATGACTTGAAGTTAAATTTTCGTTATATAATATACAGGGTGTTACGAGAGAGCTTCCTGTTCAGACAGGGACATTAAAAGGATAATAACATGCAGGAAATGATAAAGAACGAAGCGGTTTTAGCACACCCTGTATTTTAGAGTTCGTCCCGGGTCTACGTCGAAAACACGTTCGCGCGAAACGCTGTAAGTCGTAAAATGAATAATTTAGACGCGAGATTAAACCGTAAAACTGTTTCGATATTATAAAAAGCATATATCGTCTTCTCGCATTAAAACTGTATAATCTCAAAACTTATTAATTTTACAGGAGAGTGATTTAAAGGGATTACGTGTGACATTTTTAATATTAATCATCTTTGCAAAATTTCTTTTTTTATTTTTTATTTTTTTTATTGCCCTTGTAGGCAGACGAGCATACGGCCCACCTGATGGTGAGTGGTTACCGTCGCCCATGGACTTCAGCAATGCCAGGGGCAGAGCCTAACCGCTGCTTACCGCAAAAGTTACTAGTTACATTATCTGTCTTTTAAAGTAAGATAAAATTATGTATTAATTTTGTTAATAGTAGCCAAATAGAAGTAAACTTAAAAAAAAAGACAAAAATTAAAACTAATCTACGCTCTTTTGACAGTATGTATTTATGAGAAAAATACTGGTGTTACCAAACGATTCCGCATATTAACTCAATTTCGAATATTTTAGGAAATTGTACACTTAATGCCAAAAGACGATAATAATATGTGTCGGATTACGACTCAGACATCAGGAATGTAACCGAGGTATAGCTACATAGGAATTTATTACTATTAAATAATCACTGATCGAAACCCAGTAATTTAAATCTATAAATATAAAAATGAATTGCTGTTCGTTATTCTCGCTAAAACTCGAGAACGGCTGAACCGATTTGGCTAATTTTGGTCTTAAATTATTCGTGGAGGTCCAGAGAATCGGAATTAAATTAAAAATAACAATTTTGTTTTTCCTTTGATGCGTCCCCCGTCGGACTCCTTTTGTTTGTTTTAAGTTTATTTTATACAAAAGCTTAGGTATTTTATCTATCGATTGAGGTACTACGAAATCTGCCGGGTCAGCTAGTGAACTATAAAAATTGAGACTGAACTAATTAAATGTCAATCGTGAATAATAACGGTCACATAGGGCAGTAGTATCTGTCACGGACAAAGTTCCGTGCACCCACTGCAATAGGGACAGTACTAATCGTCAAAGACAACGCTCCACATCCAATACTGTGCTGTACTGACTGTCGAAAGACAGTGGTTCGTACACCAAGACGCATCCGCTCAAATGCGTGGAAACCCCTTTGCCCGGGCTAATTTTCCCTGGCTATCGAGGCAGGAGTGGTGCACTGCGGGTTGGTATGTAGCAGGCTTGAATTGTAACGGGTGGGACTGTGTCTCTTCTTTATTCTCTTTTCTTTTCTCTCTTCATCTTTATCTCTTCTTCATTCTTCCTTCTTCACTTATTTCTTCATTGATGGGGAAGAGGACTGTAGCGGGCATGAAACCCCATCCCAAAAAGGGGGTGTGGGGGACTAAATGCCCCTGATGGAAAAAGGGGGGGCCACCTACGGGGTGCAGCGGCGGTCTCCAGAGGGAGGACCCGCCAAGCGGGCAGGAGGCTGGGGAAACCCAGCTCCGAGGGGGGTGCTCATAGGTCCTTTCCGGTCTCATAGCCGGTGAGGAGCTTTATCTCTGAAAGATAGTCGGGGATACTAGTAGCTCCCGCGGCAACGCCGTACCATTAGGTGGTCTGGCGTGCAGCGGAGCTATGTTGCGGAGATGCTCACGGAGGCCGATTTCGACTCGCTTGTACATATTAGGAGCGAGCCTAGTCACAAGCTCCCTGAGCGACTCTAAACCTAGGTCCCGGGCGATAATGTTATCTCTGACGTAACGCTCGACCCCGACGACAGTACGGAGGAAAAGACTAGAACGCGTGCAGACCTTTTTTTTTATCCTACCTATGCTGATAGCCTTCAGAGGCTATTTCAGCTTCACCCTAACGTGTGTAGGTGAGCTCACGGTTCTCAAACCGGAGAGTTGCTAACACTGACCCTAGCAAGAGCAGTGCTTCGCAGAATCTACCACCGGATCGGAAACGCGATCCACTGAGAAGATCCGGCGAGAAACTTAGTGGGCTGTGTCTATGCAAGCGACGGGTTCGACGAGGACGGTGACCGGTGCTTGTGGTGCCTAAAAGCAACGTTAATGGGTCGACCGTGCAGAGCACTCTGCGCAACGGCTTATAAAGAACCAATTCCCCACCCGACGACATCGCAATCGTGCTGCCATCTCTCGGGAATCATGCTGGGTTTCGTTTAGCTACCAAACTAATGACCGTCTCCGACATAATATGTATTTGTCTAAAACCCGAATCCGCATCGTGATAATAAAACAGAGAGATAGTTACAAGAACGTTATGGTTTTGTTTTAAATTTTCTACGCAAATATTTGGGTCAATGTACGTCATTATGTCGGTCGAGAGCCGCATGGATATGAACGGAACATCGCGATGAACATAATTTATTGGGGGTATATTGGCTTATGTATTTGCACAAATGTTTGCGCAAATTGAGCATACAAAATACAATTGGGTTAAATTAGATTCGATTATATGCCACGAATATTGAATAAATATTGAACAAATAAAAATTCTACTGAACTACAGATTCAAACTTAAAACACTTAATGAACAATTTAAAATTCTCAATTTACTTCTTCCGCTTCGCTTCAGGTGATCCGTCGCTGTTTCGCTTCGAGCAGATCCGATTACTCACTGCCTTTGTGTCATCTCTGTAACGCTTTTAATGTCGATAGGACATCGCTAGAATTATCGAGAGCATTCCTGACAGGTCGACTAGTTCCGATATGTGTTTCCACTATTTTATAATAGATGGCGCTGTACCTATCGAGCGTTCTCGATTTTACTAGTTCTTTCGCTACTGCTATTACGACGATAGATGTCGTTACTCTTACCGGCTTAACAATACCAATGATATTTATTATAAAAAAAGTATCAATATATTTAATTCTTTTTCAGTGACCGGAAGGGGAAAAGGCGATGGCAGTGGTGGAGTGGCTCTGCTGGGGATGATGTTCGCTAAAGCCCTCGGAGCCATGGGTATTGGTGGTCTTGGACTTCTAACTATGAAGGTAAGGTAAAGTAAGACATATAACTATACTGAGATCTTAAAACTCATATCGCAAGGTGGGTGGCGCATTTACGTTGTAGATGTCCATGGGCTCCAGTAACCACTTAACCCCTGGTGGGCTGTGAGCTCGTCCACACACCTAAGCAATAAAAAAAAAAGTGTGTGTGTCCGCTCCGACGCACGACTGGAGTTTACTGGATATAAAAAATTAAACGAAACAATACGAGAAATAGTTCTATATTACGACAACACGATACACTACAGATTATTAACAAATTAACGAGACACAAAACAAACGATTAACAAATATATGAAAATACAATAATGAGAGAAACGCGCGATCAGTACGAGGCTTTGTGGCGGACTGCCGGCGCAGCAGCCCGGCGTCACCTGCAATAACGCGGCCGCGCGTTGGCTCCTGATTGGCGCGCGCACGCATCACGCAATCAGGAGCCAATCAGGCGCATAACGCATTTCGTGTGACATGCTAGTACGATTTTNTCAGGAGCCAATCAGGCGCATAACGCATTTCGTGTGACATGCTAGTACGATTTTGATTGGCGCGCGCACGCATCACGCAATCAGGAGCCAATCAGGCGCATAACGCATTTCGTGTGACATGCTAGTACGATTTTGGTCCCCATAATTTTCATACCCCGGGCCTATATATGTAAATCGATTCTAAAGGAGTAAACTCCAATAAAAAAATTGCTTCGCGTGCCTTTTTCAAGGCGTAGTCTCCTGTGAGAAATTGGGGGAGGTGAGGGACCTCGGCCCTTCTCTTTTCCCCTTCTCCCTCTCAGGAGGTGCCGGAGTCTGACATAACCCGGCCCGTTACCCCCCTCGACCGGGCATCCGTCAATGGATACCCCAGCGTTAAAAAAAAAAGAAAAAAGAATGGTGGTACCATGCTGATTGGCGGTTGCAGTACACTGGTTCAATACTAAGGGAGCGTTGCATTCCATTCTTAGGTGAACCATTCACCTTTCCTGTGGGGGGAAGAAATACGATGGTTCGGAACCGATTCCAAATGTCCACAACCTAACTGCTCCTGCAAAAACTAACTGCTCACGAACCCACGAGATAGCCGATAAATAAACGATACGTAATGTTAAATGGTAAAAGTTTTATAATTGAGCCGTGCCGGATAGCCGCGCGCCGTGACGCGGTGAAAATAACTTCGCCGCGAGAAATCTTAATAGTTTTGCTCTTTTCATCTCGTCGCGGCTGTCTTCAATTACAGATCACCATTGTCATTGGCTATCGCTTTACTTACTGAGTTTCTCACCGGATCTTCTCAGTGGGTCGCGATTCCGATCTGGCAGGCATCAGCTTGGTTCTGCCCCTGGCATTGCCGAAGCCCATGGGCGAAGGTAACCACTCACCATCAGGTGGACTGTAGGCTCGTCTGCCTATAAAGGACAATTAAGTAAAATAAAAGATTTAGAGAAGCACTGCTCTTAGGGTTAGTGTTAGCAATTCTCTCAGGTTGAGCCCGTGAGCTCAACTACCCGAGCTGTCGTAGCTGGAATAGCTCATAGGCTATCAACGAATAGGTAGGGGAAAAATCACTTTAACACGTTTTTTTATAATACCTTGACTTGTTTATTGTATTATGTCACTCATCTTGACAAACGAGCTTAAACTGCTTCATTATTTTATGCTGTGGCTGACCCGTAGCGAACTATGGCGCCTCACAACAGACCACCATTAAACATTTACCCAATCATGTCTCAAATACTCGTAAATATCCAACGATCTGTTTGCTAATTTTAGATTAATCGCAAACCTATGATACACCATCAATCTCAATAACAATTTTAATCATATTAACGACACACTTATTGACGGAATAGCATTATTATCAGAGCAGGAATATTTTATCAGAAGATTGTTGTTGATCTAATTAATTGAAAATACGTAAGCCGCACACCTACACGCTCACGCACACACACACGCACACACACACACACACACACGCACACACACACACACGCACACACACACACGCGCACCCACACACACGCTCACGCACACACACACACACATATTAAGAAATAAATATGGAGTTTCAATTGTACTGAAACTTTTCTCTAATTTCAATAATGTATTCTTCGTTTTCCGCGAGACGTAGACATTATTAATATTACTTTTACGGTTTATTTAATCTAGCGTTTTCAAATGCGTCTTTATAATAACTAGAGGTCCCGCAGTAGTCGAAATTCAACTATAATTAATTGAAATTGTAAGTTTGTACACTATTATGATTGTATTTTATACTTCTATAATCACAAATTTCGCCAAGGCTACACTATAAAAAAATATTAATAAAGACAAACAATATTTAATCTATTCTCAATTTGACAACAGACGTCAAGAACAAAAGTTTGACAATAAAATATAGTATGCATGCGTGTGTGCGTCAAATACACGGTATGTAGTGTGTGTAATGTTTTCTTTATTGATTTAATGTATATTTTATGCATTATTTTAAAAAAATATTAGCATTGTGCACTTCTTCTCTATATTCTCTATAAGTGTGGAAAATTTCATACTCCTCCGTCCGCGCAATTTTCGTAAAAAGGGATACAAAATTTTTGCTTCACGTATTAATATATAGATATTATTTCCGACGGTTTGTATACTTTACGTTTTAGCGTAAGTCACTTACGATTTCGCGGTCCGTGGCCACGAAAACTGTATAAAGTATTCGAATCGCAAAAAATATAAAAAAAAACTAAATCTGTGGTGTCGTGGGACACCGGATAGGAACGAAGTTCATTATTATAAAAATATTATAAATTTAAGTTCTATTCGAGGTATAAAGAAAATAATTATTCGAGTATACATTTGTTATTATGATTTTTTTATTGATAAAAAAAAAAAAAGATACTTTACAAAGTTATCAACTTTATCTTATTCACAATGGTTTATAAAAAATATATAATAATAATATATAAAGAAACAGCTATTTATCTATAGCTATTTATTTAAAAAAAATATAATATGAATAATAATAATAATTAAGCCTAATAATGTTCTGTCATAGAAATAATAATAACTGTCGTCACATAGACTATACATTAGACACTTTAAAGCCATCATACTAAGACTACACATAAATAATAAAACACGTGTGGCACTCGGAGACTGCCGCGGTAAAGCTATTGCAAAGCATTTTTTATCAACTTATGCAATTACAATTAGACAATAATAATGTTATATTAAAACAATAATAAAAATAAGACCACGCTATATTTATAAACATTAACAAAAGCAAAACATTAACTGTCCCCTTCACACTCATAAGCTAGACCGTGCGAGAGAGAGATGGGCAGACTTTTCATGATGCGCATGCAGTGCGACGTCACGCCGCGCTCTTATTCACAAACACTACACCAGCGCAACGTGTGAATGTGTTGAACGCGAGCTGCATAGTAGGTGTAGTGGGGTTGTCAGGTTATTTTCGTTACGGAATTTCTTGATTCAGTCGCCGCGCTCAAAGCCCGCGATAAAAGCTATCGAATAGCTTAAAAATCTTACTTAACGGACGTTTTTCCCGTCGTCCATAATGAAAAAGTTTAATGAAACTAAAAATGCGACATTAAACCGTAAAACTACTTTTAATATTTTCTCTGATAATCACTTCAGCTCTTCCTTCTATTTACAGAAATGAAAAACATTTATGTCGCTAGAATTCGCGACAGGTAACAAATTAATCGTGTCCCTGACAAGGGTTAATTATCGTGCAGACAGGCAAACACTTTTGTCTAGTTGGAGATATATTAGGGTTCCATCTAACTCAGACCATCTGTAATGATAAAAATAAAACAGAAAGTCGTCGTGGCCTAAAGGATAAGACGTCCGGTGCATTCGTATGTAGCGATGCACCGGTGTTCGAATCCCGCAGGCGGGTACCAATTTTTCTAATGATATACGTACTAAACAAATGTTAAAAGTCAATCATTTCCACAGTGAAGGAATAGCATTGTGTAGTAACAATCAAACCCGCAAAATTATTATTTGTGTAATTACTGGTGGTAGGACGTCTTGTGAGTCCGCAAGGTTAGGTACCACCATCTTGCTTGTTTCTGCCGTTAAGCAGTAATGGGTTGAGAAGACGTTATGCGGTAATAACTGAGACCTAAGAACTCATATCTCAAGGTAGGTGGCGGTATTTACGTTGTAGATGTCTACAGGCTCCGGTAACCATTTAATACCAGGTGGGCTGTGAGCTCGTCCCCACAACTAAGCAATAACTAAAAAAGTGACTAATATATATTTTTATCACAAGTTATAGTTCTTCTAGATCGTAACAGAAATATAATCAATAAAAAATCATTTTGTTACAATCATTGAAAAAGTGCAAGCTTTTGTGTTAAAGCCTCGAAAGTTATAAGAAAATTCTTAATAATTTTCATGTACAATTACAAACCTACAAACGGTAGACAGCGGCTTGGCTTTACCCCTGGCATTGATGACGTCCATGAGCGACAGTAACCACTCACCATCAGGTGGGCTGTATGCTGCCTATACAGCAATAAAAAAAAAATGCACATTGTTTCAGGCCCTCGCAGCGTCCGCCTTAGCTCTGATGCTATCAGCAATCGTGGGGGTCAAGAAACTGACGTCCCACGATGACCACGATGACCACCAAGTGATATACGCTGGCCATCATGGCCACCACAGGAGGAGAAGAGAGGCAACCCCTCTGCCGTACCGAGGCTGGGACTTCAAGAAGAAAACCGAATGAAAAACAATGTTGTAAATAAAACTAAAATTATTTATTTTTATTTAAATCTAGAAATTAATTTATTGTAAATTATTTTCTACTTATTTAATTTATATTAAATTATTGTTTTTTTTTGTCTATAATATTTTGTAAAATAAAAACATACATCCTACCTTCTTATCCTTATTTCTTGGTCGACAAAAATGCCGAATAGTTAAAAAAAAAACCCTATTATTTCACACTTCAAACACTTCTAAAGAAGACTCTCGAATATATTTTGAAGTCTCATAATTTAACAAGAGAAAATTTTGAGTTCATTTGTCGATTCGAATTGAAACACGAACGTAATGGATGTAAACTTGGTACACAGAGTAAATACAACAGCATTGAAACTGTGGTCTTTGGACTATAAAAAGGAAGGTGATCAATCTTAACTTCCAGAGAGTTAACTGGTGGTAGGACCTCTTGTGAGACCGCACGGTACCACCACCCCGCCTATTTCTGCCGTGAAGCAGTAATGTGATTCGGCTTGAAGGGTGGGCAGCCGTTGTGACTATACTGAGACCTTAGAACTTATATCTCAAGGTGGGTGGCGCATTTACGTTGTAGACGTCTATGGGCTCCAGTAACTACTTAACGCCAGGTGGGCTGTGAGCTCGTTCAACCATCTAAGCAATAAAAAAAAAAGTGTGTGTGTCCGCTCCGACGCACGACTGTAGTTTACTGGATATAAAAAATTAAACGAAACAATACGAGAAATAGTTCTATATTACGACAACACGATACACTACAGATTATTAACAAATTAACGAGACACAAAACAAACGACTAACAAATATATGAAAATACAATAATGAGAGAAACGCGCGATCAGTACGAGGCTTTGTGGCGGACTGCCGGCGCAGCAGCCCGGCGTCACCTGCGATAACGCGGCCGCGCGTTGGCTCCTGATTGGCGCGCGCACGCATCACGCAATCAGGAGCCAATCAGGCGCATAACGCATTTCGTGTGACATGCTAGTACGATTTTGGTCCCCATAATTTTCATACCCCGGGCCTATATATGTAAATCGATTCTAAAGGAGTAAACTCCAAAAAACTTTAACAAAGATACTGACCCACAGCTGGAACCAAACTTCAATCCTATGGTACTTAAGATAACTGGCCACTTGATTGACAGGCGATTGATAATTGAGAAATAATGTTAGTAAACATAAACATAACGTAAATGTATTATTACGTAGAACGTAATTTAACAATTGATGTTAAGCACTTAGTCAAGTAGAATTACGTAGATGAATACCAGCTATCCAGGCAATTATTAAAATTAAAAATAAAAGATTTAGAATTTTAAAAACACTGATAATCTGATTGGTACATGACTTTCCTCATTAAACGTTCAAATATTCAAGCTCAAATTAAAGCTCTATTTCACACTTAGAACACTCACACTTCACAGAACATTTTACAGCTCGTAATTCGCTTCTTCCGCTTCGCTTCAGGTGATCCGTTCGCTGTTTCGCTCTGATTACAAACTGACTTCAAGCCATCTCTCCAACGCTTTTATAGTCGACACGACATCTCTAGATTTATCGAGAACATTCTGGGCAAGTCGAGTAGCTTCGATATGTGTTTCCGCTATCTGACAATAGATGGCGTTGTACTTCTCGAGTGTTCTCGGTGTTACGAGTTCCTTTGATATTCGTTTCTGCTATTCGGTGATAGATGGCGCTACTATTACCGGTGTAACAATATATTTTCTTCGTTGCATGTAGTGAATCTGCTGATTGCATTTATACTAGAATTTCAATTTCTTCCCAACAAGAGCAATTTCCCTCAGACGCGGTTGCTACTGGTGTTTGAGCGATTGAATAGCAATTCGCTTTGACATTATTCGTTTCGTTGTTTAAAATTGAATTTGCGAGATCATCGTACTGGCACACACGTCGACTAATGTATGTATATGTATGTATTATGTAGCAAATATATTACGGATCAGTCCCTACTCGGCACTCATACGCTACGACTGCGATTTTTTTTTTTTTTATTCAAACTAATAATCTTTTGCGTGATATTTTGATATACGAATTAAATAAATTTATATTCCATTGAACAGTTAATCATAAATATTATATTGGAATACTAGCTGAGCCGGCAGACTTCGCAGTGCTTCAATCGATAAATAAAAGACTTAAACTGTTGTATAAAATAAACTTAAAACAAACAAAAGGAATCCTTATATCTATCTATCACCTTCTCTGGACTTCCACAAATAATTCAAGACCAAAATTAGCCAAATCGGACCAGCCGTTCTCGAGTTTTAGCCAGACTAACGAACAGCAATTCATGCCGTATCTTTATCTCTTCCAGAATTTGTGTTAATGAAACGGTTGTCTGAAAGAAATCGCTTTTAGCGATAAGACCGCCAATTGTAGAAATTTATCTGCTTGTTGACTGTTTTCTAATCTTAGTTGTAATTTAGTTTACAATAAAGTATTCTCTCTCTCTCTCTCTCTCTCATCACATTTCTTGAAATTCAGCGTCGCCTGGCCTGAACCCCGAAATCAAACTTTGATCACCTCTTTCGCTTTGTAACCAGTAATTCTAATTTGAAACTATGTCTCTCTTAAAACTTTAAGTTTAGCTAGTGTGAAATTTGATTTTACTGACCAGAAAATGGAATACTTACTAAATATTATAAACCTACTCATATAAATATTACCTACAGGCTAATATTTATATGAGTGTTGGACTCCCTACACCAATTGCGGGGGCGTTAATGATGAGAATCTTTGTGGGGGTGAGAAATAATAATGTTAATTTTAAATATCCAGCGAAGCGGACGGGTTCAACTAGTAGTTTATATATTTATACAAGTATAAGCTGAAAGTTTTCGTTTACGTGCCAAAAATTGTTTACCCGGGAACACCGGTTTATATCGACCCAAAAACCGGAGATTGCAATCTCCACGGTCGGAGATGAAAACCACGTTTTCCCCACAAACAATGTTATACATGTTCATTTTAAAAACACTATCAGATAACGTGTCCTTAAAACAATGTATGATGCACGATATTGTTGTTCTATTAGCTATATACTATATGCTATTATGTTAAAGCGTAGTCTGAAAGCAGCTTTGGTTACAAAATCTATATCTATACTAATATTATAAAGAGGAAAGATTTGTTTGTTTGTTTGTTTCGAATAGGCTCCGAAACTACTGGACCGATTTGAAAAATTCTTTTTCCATTAGAAGCCCACATTATCCCTGATGAACATAGGCTACTTTTTTTAATTTTTTTTGATTTTTTTTTTTGGTTTCATGTGTGTTTTATTTAATGTTTCCGAAGCGAAGCGAGGGCGGGTCGCTAGTTAATAATATATTTAATTTTATAATATACGAAAAAGGCGATTTCGATGAAACCCGGTATAAAAATAGTTTTAATCCTTGGAAATAAATACCAATTTATTATATATGTCGGCGCAAGGTCACTATTTAGTTGACTAAAAATAGTTAAAGTTAACTGTTTAATTAGTGTTACGCATGTCAACAACTGTTTGAGACGCGGTATTCAAGAGAATTCATGACTAAGCAAACAATACTTTCTATTATAAATACGAGTGACTATTGTCACACAAAACCGCCTTCATATTAGGACGCCTCTATCCTATGATTTGCAAGCCAAGTAAATTGTCCCTTCGTAAAAAGGTGACACTCCACAAAACTGGCACACGCCCGGTCATGACGTATGCAAGCGTAGGTTTCGCTCACGCGGCCCGCACCAACTTGAAACCCCTCCAAGTCATTCAATCCCGTTTTTACAGGATAGCCGTCGGAGCACCATGGTTCCTAAGAAACGTGGATCTCCATGATGACCTGGAGCTTGACTCAGTAAGTATTTACAATCGGCATCATTGAGCCACCTTGAGAAGGCAGCACGACACGAAAACCCTCTTGTCGTGGCCGCCGGTAATTACATAACCAATCCTGTGGACCGAATGGTAAACGGTTGACGTCGCCCTTAACATATCATTACGGATCCTTCCAATCCATTGACGGTGCTTTTAAGTACTTCAAGCACCGGTCACCGTCCTCGCCGAACCCTTCGCTTGCGACGAAGAGCTCGATGAGTAAATTAACCCACATACCACCCGCAGTCCACTGAGTTTCTCACTAGATCATCTCAGTGGGACGCGTTTCCGATCCGGTGGTAGATTCTGCGAAACACTGTTCTTGCTAGGGTTAGTGTTAAGCAACGACGTCAGGTTTGAGCTCCGTGATCTCACCTACTAGTTCGGTGAATCTAGACTAACCCCTCGAGGCTACTAGTAAATAGGTAGGAATCTTTAAAAAAAAACGTGTGGCACTCGGGAACTACCGCGGTAAAGCTATTGCATAGCATTTTTTATCAACTCATGCAATTATAATTAGACAATCATAATTTAATATTAAACAATAATAAAACAAAACCACGCTATATTAAACATTAATAAAAGCAAAACATTAACTGTCCCCTTCATACACATAAGCTAGACGGCGCGAGATAGAGATGGGCAGACTTTTCATGATGCGCATGCAGTGTGACGTCACGCCGCGCGCTTATTCACAAACACTACACAAGCGCAACGTGTGAATGTGTTGAACGCGAGCTACATGGTAGGCGGAGTGAGGGGTGTTAGGTTTTTTTCGTTACGGAATTTCATGATTCGGTCGCCGCGCTCAAGGCACGCGATAAAAGCTATGCAATAGCTTAAAAACCGGGCAGTCCAATCCAGACATATTCCACAGATTCCACACCGGAATTAACGCGGCATTTCAGTAGCAGCGATCAAGTAGGCCATTATCTTAGCTTATAAAAAAAAATCTAAGATGGAAGGCCTCCAATGTGATCGAAGGCTCCGTCGGCTGGGCGTCCTTGGGGTGAGCCGCGCCGTCTGGTTGTAGTGTTGACCGCGGTAGCCCCCCTACCTCATCCGGGTTCTGACCTCGGAGGGGATCGGACGTCGGGTGTAAGAGTGCAG